CGTGTGTGTGTGTGTGTGTGTGTGTGTGTCTGCAATTTTAAGATATATTACCACATTGTTACTTATTCTTCAATAATTTACATGAACAACAGAGGTCTGCTTTAAGTTTTCTTTTATAATGTGGTCTGATGGAGCAGCCAGCATTGGGAACATTGCCACTTAAATTGCAAAGGGAAAGCAAAGATGAGAATTAAATGAGAGCGTAGCAAATGACTCTGCAGGTCTGCTTCCACACAGAGATTAGACATGCCACTCTTGTTCACATTTGCCATGCTAGAAGCACTTCACCAGTCATCCCTAACTCAGTGAGCAGTCTGAGGACATTTGCTAAAGGTTTTACAGACCATCCCAAAGGGCCTGTGCCTTCCATAGGGCATACGGCAACTTATTCCCCTACCAGTAATGCCAGGAATTTTCTAACCCACAAATAGAGTAATTTGAAAAGTTTTGGGGTTTTGGTATTCTTTTAGGTGGTAGTATGTTAGTAGTTTAAATGTATGTTTCTTGCCAGTAAAGTTGAGCATTTTTCTTAAATAGAAAGGCTAATTATAAACTATTTTGTGTGACTAACTTATTCTTTCCTTATCTTTATTGAGTATTTTGTTTGTTTTATTATTAATCCTCTGAGCTTTTTGTGTTTTAGGGAAATTAAGTCTTTGTTACATGAGTTGCCAGTCTTTTCTCAGTATATCATTGTGAGGAAATGTAAAGAAATTTAAAGAACCATGTTTTTGTAATCCTGACAATAAAGAGAACAATATCTCTTTGCATTGTAAATTGTCCAGGAAATCCACGACTTTAGAAAGGAATATCAGGAAAGAAAAAAATGTACATACTTCATGCTCCACTTTGTCTCCATGACACAATAAATTCCTTCTGGTCTAGCTCTACACAGTTCAAAGTGTGAGTCATGGGCTAACACAACTGTTGTTTTTAGTCTTGGATGAAGTAGGTACTAAAATTGGAAGTGTGCCTTCAGAGGCAGTTTGAATTGCCATGACATCAGTCACATCAAGGCCCAGTCTCATGGAACAGGATATGAACCAAAAGTATCAGACGATGATATTGGAGATGAAAAACCAGGTCCTTAACAAAAAGTAGTTTGGAATACATTAGTTGGTACTCGTAAAACATGGAATAATTTATTTTCCCCAAATCCTTAGAGACTTGATACTTGCTGTTTCTTGTGCCTGGAATTTTTTCTTAATTTGGCTTGCTAGATTATCATTTATGTCTTTTAAGACCCAGACAGATGTGAAGTGTTTGGAGAAAGTTTCCCGACTGTGAAAAGCTACTTAGAATTGACACTCATAATGAGATAATGGAGTTATTATTTGCTGATTTGCCTTTCCTTCCTTCCTTCCTTCTTTCCTTCCTTCCTTCCTTCCTTCCTTCCTTCCTTCCTTCCTTCCTTCCTTCCTTCCTTCTTTCTTTCTTTCTTTCTTTCTTTCTTTCTTTCTTTCTTTCTTACAAGTGTGTAAGTTCCTGGAATGTCAGGGATATACTTTTTTTGTGTGATATTGCCTGGTATAGAATAAGGCAAAGAATGTCTAGCAAATCATTTCTAGTTATTTAGCCAGCTGAAAATGCCCATCATTTTCCTAAATGACTCCATGTATAAACTGTTTTTCTGTTGTGATAAAAATACTGTAACCAAAGGCAATTTAAGGAAGAGTTTATTTTGGCTATGGTTTGGTTTCCAAAGCACTAGATAGATGTTGAAGAAGGCATTGTAGCAGGAGCCAGAAGCTGAAAGTCATATCAACCACGCACAGGAAACAGAGAGAGGATACTGAAAGTGGGACAAGTGATGTACTTCCTCCAGCAAGGCTCCCCTCCTAAAAGTTCTGTAACTTCCCCCAAACACACCACCAACTGGGGATTTAGTCTTTAAATATGAGCCTGTGGGGGACAAATCTCATTCAAACCACTGAAATGTGCTTCCTTATCTTCTAGTTCATCCTGTTTCCCAAGGTCGGCCACTAAAGTTAATAACAGCAAAATATTAACCATATCATATCAGTTGTTCTCTCCTTTGTGTTTCTTTTGTAAACACAAGTTTACTGACTTATTATAGTATTATATTATATATAAGATTATAGTATGAGTAGTTTTTATTTTCTCAGTTTTTGTAAACTTTATTCTGGGTTAGCAAATGTTTTTGAAAAGCTTAATTAGTAGATTACCCCACAATATGACTATTCCTTAATAGTTGTTTGTACATTGTCACGAATAAGGTTTTAGTAAATGTTGTCATAGAAATATAGTTTCATTTCTGTATATTTCTTTAACTTACCTTAAAATATTCTAGTAAGTGGCCATCTAAGGACTATTTTTTTGGAATTAATAAATTCCTAAATTTATTTTAGAAAATATTTTACAGTTTGTGCTTTGAGTGTCTAAATGTGCTGGACCAACTTTGAGTATTAACATTTTTGTCAGTTTGACCAAAGATTAGTAACTGACTTTTAAAATTTACATTTTTTCTGTTGTTTGTGACTTGAGTATTCCCATAAGCTTAGAGTCATTTATACTGAGTTGTTATTACATTAAACAGATTTTAGCGCACTACCCAGAAAGTCAGCTACACTTATGCTATTCCTATAAAACTATCAGAGACTTAAGGGATTGATTATTCAGGGCCATACTTGTATCCTCTGAGTACCTGCTCATCTGAACTTAATAACTGCTTGATGACATTGCTGGTGCTGACAAGGCAGTAATGTTGGTAGTGTGGGTGGGAATGGGCATGAATTTGTACCTTATTTGGTTTAGTTACAGAAGAATCTGAGGGAGGAGGTGAGACTTTTAGCTCTAGAAACAGAGACTGCGGTGGCAGCAGGTGGGTGGGTGTTCCAGGTGGAAGGGACAGTAAAGGAGAAGGCATGGAGGCAGGCCATAAGGAAGGCTTGACAGGAGCTCTTAGGCTGTTGAAAGCTGAGAAAGGCAAGCCTTCTTAATAAGACACTAAGGTTAACAAAGAGATCAGAAGGCCCACATTTGAATGGAGCTGTCACAGGAGACACAAGGTTGTCCAAGGTCAGCCTATGAGATGAATTGGCAATTTCTCGGGGCAGTCCCTAAAACAAAAACCAAATTGATTGTCTACTGCAAAGTTCTGGTTCCACTTGTAACTTCCTCCAAGCAAAGAAGCTTCCTTCTTGTCTCATAATTGAAGCTCTAAAAAGGTGGTCCTTTAGGGCGACAATGATAAGCCTCAGAGAAGTGGGCCTTTGGGGACCTTCCTCTTAGACTAAGCAGCACTAGGAAAACATTTTGTAACCTGATACTCCAGGGTTTCATTTGATCATGACTGCCCATCTTAACTTACATTATCTCAATCTTTGCCCTTTGATCAAGATCACTAGTTTCCTTTCCCTTTCGGATCACTGAAAGATCACAAGCCTTAGTGGTTGAGAACACTGACTGATCTTCCAGAAGACCTGAATTGGATTCCTAGCACCCATATGGCAGCTTACAATTCTGGGGCACTGCATTTACATAGCATATATACACACAAGCAAAACATCCATACACATAAAATAAAAAATAAAATTGTTAACAATTGTTTTAAGTAACTAATAAATATAACAGGATATGAGGCTGAAGATCTGGCTTGGGGGTTCAGAGCACTGACTGTTTTTCTAGAGGACCCAGATTCAACTCCTAGCACCCATATGTCATCTCATAACTGTCTGTAACTCCAGTTCCAGGAGACTATGCCCTCCATAGCCTTTGCAATGCTCTAGGCACATACATGGTGCACATACATATATGCAGACAAAATAAACCATACCCATAAAATAATAAAGTATTTAGAAACTTAAAAAATAAAAGAATAAAAGTAATCAAAATGATGTATATAATGTAAAGGTTTCCTCTTATTCCAGCTCCCAGGTCTCCCACTTCTTCCCCCATTACATTGCTACCCTGTTTTATGAGTCTCCAGAGATAATGTGAACCTTTACAGATGCAAGCTTGTATATGTATTGCATATTCTCCTTTGCCTTGCTGTAGTTACTGCTATATTTGTGTATTTTTCCTTATTAGTGTGCATAAAGCTACTGCTCTATTAAGGCTATTAAAAGTGGGTTGTTCTCTGGCGCAGAGTTACTGATTTTTTTTATGTAGGTATTTATTTTGTGAATTATAATTTGCATACCTTTTCTCCCATGGATGAACCTTTGAGTTGTTTCTAATACTATAATGCAAAGTTCTGCCAATGGGTCTAAATACTTGAAGACCTCTTTTGACCACAGGTTTCAGTCTCTGTTCTTCATAAGCTCTTATCCAGAACAGGCCTACTACTACTTCATACACCAGAAAAAAACTCCCCTAGACAAGAACTTTTGCTGCTTCTCTGAATACTGTGAGACTGCCTTTGCTCCTCCTGCCCTTTGACAAACTGAGTTGTCCTTACCTCATATGAGAGACCAAACCTAATTTTTTTTAGCATCTAACCTTGACTAAAACCTGTTTTTTTTCTCTCAAATCCTCTGTAGTGAAGACCATGCCTTCTTGTTTGTTTCATGTTTCTACACAGGAGTAAAGCTTAGTTTACTTTGGCTTCTTCTGCCACTTCTAAACCATTAACATGCCCTATTCTTACTTTCCTAATTTCAATTAGGTTGCAACTTTCTCACAACCCTTTGTTTGTTCATTGGAAACTCTAATACCTATATCATAGTTTGCATTTTACTGTCAATAACTGCCATAATAATTACCATAATAACCACATTGAATATTATGTCTCAGGCATTGTTAGGTCAGTGATCGTCTCATGGTAGTTCTATAATTTATTTAGGATTACATTATTAGCACCACTGAATAGAATAAGTAACTGAATGCCTCGTTGACTTTGTGGTGTGTGTATGAGGGGTGTTTATGTGCATGTGCATATGGGGTTCAGAAGTTGACACTGGATGTCTTATTTCCAAAACAAGAGGAGGACACAACATCCTTGTACAAGATGCCTTGTACACCAGAGAGGGGCTTGTATATGCTTTATGCAGCAGCAGTATCATAGCCAGTGATTTTTATCTGAGGTATGACTATTGCTAATTGAAAAATTTCCCCAGCAGAGACTGCCTTTGATGCAGTTAATGAAAAAGTATAGAGCAGGAAGGATGGTTTTCCTAAACTCTGGAATGTAAATAGAGACTGCTAGTTTATTTCCTGACCATTCAGACCCAAATAATTACAGAGAAAGTATATTAATTACAACATTCTTTGACCTATTAGCTCAGGCTCTTATTAACTAACTCATATCTTAAATTAACCCATTTTTATTAATCTATGTATCACCACAAGGCTATGGCCTTCTGATAAGGTTCCAGTGGCGTCTTTCTCCTTCAGCAACTACAGTGTCTCCTTGACTCCACCTACTTTCTCTCTTTATCTCTTCCAGCCTGGTTATAGTCTGCCCTGCCATAGGCCAAAGCAGCTTTATTCATTAACCAATAAGATGTAACACATATACAGAAGGACATCCCACATCACTGGGAATTATGAAGAATAAAGTCACTAAAAAGAGATCATAGTTATATTTTCCCACAGTCATTTCGGCCAAACAATTTAAACACACACACACACACACAATCTTCATGAGAGCAAAGAGTTGGGGTAATGGAAGTTAAGATGGGTAGCCATGGTCAGAGAAAATTCTGAAGTATCTGATTATAAAAAGTATTTTCCTAGCCAGGCATGGTGGCACACACCTTTAGTCTCAGCACTGAAAAGGCAGAGCCCACTCAGTTCAGTAAACTGGTGCATGAAAAGGCAGGCTGAAAAAGCTGTTTTGGCCCTTTGACATTCATTTATGTACTAAGAAAAGTTCAGATGTCTAGTCAAGCATGTGGAGTGAGGGTGTCAAGTTGTAGACTGTTTGACCCATCTTTTGCAGTGGTCTTCTGTTAAAAAGGCTTGTTTCAAAAATAACTTTTCTTGTGCACTTGGATTTACAAAGTGATGCTTGTGTGATACGTATAGTGAGTGTGTGATGGTCATTATAATGAAGCAGGTTAACACATAGAGCAGAGCCTCACATATTATAAGCATTCGATAAACATCTGTTATTGACATGGTCCTTTTTGTCCCAAGAGAAGCTAAAATGTACATATTCAACAAAAATCTTTAACCTAATTTTATTTACTGTATTCCTCATTTTATACATTAAATTTCTAGATCTATTTGTCTTATATATATACTATTTTATCTTATTTTTGTAACTTTTATTACATTTTAAAATTTTATTTAGTATGTGTGGTCATTCATGTATGTGCCTGTATGTATGTGTGCGGGTCAGAGAACAACTTGCATAGATTCTGTCTTGTCATGTAGATCTTGAAGATCAAATTCAGGTCATTAGGCTTGGCAACAAGTGTCCTTACCCATGGAGTGGTGTAACCAGCCATATGTTGTTTTATATTTTTTGGCCTATATTTCCTCATTTTCCCCACCCATCACTATTTCCTCTATCTCTATTTTTGTTTATCTTTATTATGTTGCTGAATATTTCTTTTAACTGTCTCTTCTGTTTTCCAGGTATATTTCTGTGTTCAGGTATATTTTTAAATTTTGAGATTATAATATAGTTATATCATTTCCCTTTTCCTTCCTCCCTCCAGACCCTCCCAATATATTCCTCCTTACTCTCTTTCAAATCAATGGTCTCTTTTTTTTCATTAATTATTGTTACACACACACGCATATGGGAGTGCACACATGCACGCTCAGCTACTTAAACACAACCTGCTCGGACTCTATACTGTTACTTGTATGTATATATTTTCAGGTCTGACCATTTGGTGTTGGATAACCATTTGGTGTGCTCTTCCCTGAGAAAGACTGTTTCTCCTGCTCTAAATATTTCTTAGTGTCCTGTAGGGTTTTTGGTAGGGTTGAATCCTCCTGGACTTTCCCCTGGCCCCCTTAAAGGTAACATGTTTATTGTCATTGTCCTAGTTCAGCTCCTTCTCACTGGGGAGAGAAGTCATGTTAAGGCAGTCATGTTCGTGAGAGTTTATGGGTATAGCTTCTAATATTTTTTGGAGACACAGTCTCATGGGAAAATTCCTGTTCTTCTGGCTTTTACAATCTTGGCCTCTCTGCTGTGATCCTTAATCTTTAGGGGTATGAGTTGTACTGTAGTTGTAGTAGTTGAAACTGGGCTGTACAATTCTGTATTTTGATTGGTTGTGGTTTTCTTTATTTGTGTCTGTTTCCAAAGGGAAGTGTGTTTAAGTTTTAAATTTTATTTATCCCATCATGTATGTTTGTATGAATGCTTACACGTGTATATACAAATACTACATTTTTATTCATCTATTAACAGATGCAAGTCTTCTGGCTTATCAAGCTAAGAAGTCAGTCATTACCATAAATAATTTATTGCAAGAGTAATACTTGTAGTGAAAATAGTTAGCCTTGGGCTGTAAAGTAGCAAATAAGCCTGCTGAGTTAGGCGGTTAGAAAAGTCCTATCAGAGAAACTCCTAGAGAATATTAAACTAGCAGTTATTTTTTAAGTACCAGAAAAATAAAAAAAATAAGATGAGCTTAGAGAGATGAAATCAAGGGTAAACCTGCATCCTGTGTGTATGTTTGTCATAATGGAGATCCATAGCTTCTTACACGTGCCACTAACCATCAGTTTTAAAAGTGGATACATCTTTTGAGGTGATGGTGGCACATATCTTTAATCCCAGCATTGGGAAGTAGAGGCAGGTGGATCTCTGTGATTTCAAGGCCAGCCTAATCTATAGCGAAAGTTTCAGGACAGCTAGGGTTAAACAGAGAAACCTTGTCTCAAAACAAAAACAAAAAGCAAACAAACAAGAAGGAAACATTCTAAAGTCCAGCTACAGTTTAAACAATAATAGAACTGTTGATAGTACTATTATTAGTGTTACTGCTGTTGCTGCTGCTGCTACTGCTAATACTACTGTTTGCAGTGCTGGGGATTAAACCTAGAACCTCTCACATGCTAAGCAAATGCTCTACCACTGAGCTATATCCCTTCCCTTTTCTGTCTCTTCCCTTTTCCTCTTCCTCCTCCTCTTCCTCCTTATCATCATTACCCCTACCCCTTCTCTTTCCCCTTCTCGTTCCTTTCATCTTCCTTTTCAAACAGGTTCTCATTCCCAGTCTGTCTGGGAACCCGCTGAATAGACTGAGCCAACCTCAAACTTGCAGCAACCCTCCTGACTCAGCCTCCCAAATGCTGGGATCATATGCCACCACGTGCAGCTAGGGGATAGAGAGGTGAATCCAGGGTTAAGAGCACGTGTTGCTCTTGCAGCAGACCCAGGTTTGACTCTCAGTACCTACATGATGACTTACAACCCTCTGTAACTCCAGTGCTAAGGGATCAACACCCTCTTCTGGTCTCTGTGGGTTCCAGGCAAGCATGTGGTACTTACACATATACAGGCAAAACACTTATACATTTTTTTTTTAATTTGGGGAAAAAGGTAACTTCTTGATGTCAAAGGAAAAAGACATGTTATTTCTTAGTTTTTTTCAGCTTCCACATCCTGTGGTTGGGTGTCACCTTCAGGTATTATAAGAAAATGTATTTATTCAGCACACACCTAAGGACACTTGCGCATAAATAGGTAAAGATGACAAGTTGGGAAGGGCATTCCAGATGAGAACGAGCATCCTGAAGCAGTTCTTGACAGGTGAAATAGAAACTGTGCATTGATTTCCCCCGAAGGCACTCTTCCTTCTTGGCATCTGTGCTGTTTTCCTTCAAGTTGTTTCTTATTTTTGACAGTTCAGTTTTTGTTTCCCTCACACCATTTGCTATCTTCTGCTTGTCTCTTAAGCCTCAATGATTCCCAGACTCTGTTTCTCCATCTTCCTCTCCTCTAGATAATCTAATTTGTGTACTTTCCTGTGACTGATGAATCCCAGTTGCAGTCTCAGTTGTCTTTCATGAGCTCCAGACCTACAGCTCCAATTGCCTGTGGATATTGTCACCTGTATGCTCAGAGGCACCTAATAATATTCGATCTGTACTCATCTTTTCTTTCTCTGCCATGTCCTCTTCTATAATTTTTTTTCAGTAAATGATACTATCAGTCACCCAAGCACAGCATTTTCCTTCTCCCTCACAATAAGATATGGATATAACAGTTGCTTTGTTAGAACATCTCATTCTGTGAACTGCTTTAGACCAAAGATAATGACACCTTTTCACCATGCCTTGTTTAATATCTAGGTAGTTGATTGGTATCCATCTATTATTATATTTTGTTCTTGTTTCATTTCTGTTATTGTTATTTTTTAAAAAAACTAGCAAAAAGCCACTCAGGGGAGAGAAGGTTTATTTTACCTCATAGTTCTAGTTTACTGCCTGTTATTGAAGGGAAATTACATTTGCAGCAGCTTGAGACAGCTGGTCACACATCCACAGTCAAGAGCAGAGAGAAACAAGTACATTTATGTTCACGTGTTTGTTCTCAGTTGGATTGTTCCACTCTTTACAGGTCAGTATCCCTTGCATTGTAATGGTGCTGCTAAAGTAGACTGGGTCTTCCCATATCAGTTAACTCAATTAAATGATGTCCAGTAGTCACCAGTGTGGTCAATTTCTCATTAAGACTCTCTTCTCAGGTGATTCTAGATTGTGTCAAAGTAACAATAAAATCTAACTCTCTCTCTCTCTCTCTCTCTCTCTCTCTCTCTCTCTCTCTGTGTGTGTGTGTGTGTGTAATCAATAGTTCTGGAAGATTCTGTTTAGTTTATACTAAGTCTGTCATAGGAGCAAGCACTTTACCAATTGAGCCTATATTTTCCATTTTTATAAGAATACTGTCAGATTAGAGCCAACTTTGATGAACTGATTGATGGCCTTGGTGACCTTTTTAAAGACTATATCTCCAAATAAAATCACATTATGAGGTAGTAGGATTTAGAATTTCAAAGTATAAATTGGGAGGGTCAGGTCACAATTTGTTGTAGCCTAGCCTTTCAGAACCACTTACCATGAACAATGTAATTTATACACAACAAAAGTGCCTTTCAGTTCTGAAAGCTGAGATGTTCAAGATCAAAGCACTAGAAGGCTCCGTGTACACACACACACACATACATATACACATACACATACACACAGTGAGAGAGAGACAGACAGATAG